TGACGGATTTGGTACCATGTCTATTCTTGACGAGTGCGTGCGAGGGTAAGAGGACCTTCCTATAAGCTCAACACAGCCAGTTGATGAGGATGGGGAGCTGAATCTGACGGGGTTTTCACGATAAATGTATGCCAGATGGTCCGCCGGATGATGGCAGATGGCTCGAATCGAGGCAGTTTTCCATGGCCGGTCAGGGTAGTCTCTCAGCAGATTATCACCCTGGAGATTGCCGTGTTCACGCTGCAGGCCTATGGACTATTAGTCCAGGCCAACCCGCTCCTATCGCTCTACTGGGACATGGGCAATCTGGTCACCGTCGTCGGCTCGGCCATCGAGATCCTCAACATCCTTGCCGTCTGGCTCTGTCTCCTGATCGTCAGCCGGAAACCCAGACGCACCCTCTCCATCATCGCCCACCAACAATCTTCGACTAACTTCTCTGCGTTCGCTAGGCTGATTGCTGGCTCGGTCGCCTTCATCTTAATCCGGACGCTTTCCAGATTGGTCTTGCATCTCAAAAACGCTCAGCTTGAGCCATTCAAAAACGAACTCTTGAGTAAATCTATCTTCCCCAAAAACCGCCTTAGAACTTCTGGGGGGATGATAGCTGGATACTGACTGTGTTCGACACATGGTGATAGTCTTCCTACTCGAAGGTCTTCCGCTCTCTCTCTGTGCGCTCTTCCTGATCATCTTTCATCCCTGCCGATTTGACGGCGGGATCCGCGACCAGGCGCCCTCATTTTTTTCGCGGGAGACGCCTGCACTGGGTGGGCCGATGGTCGAGAATGAGATGGAGGAGACAAGGAAGAAGGAGGGGGTGGATCCACTGGGAGTGAAAGGCGTCTCTGATTTCCAGGATGAGATCGGCGGCCCATTCTGGACCGTCCCTCTGTCCCCTCATCATCATCAGCAGCAGCAGTCAGACCATACCAAGCGACCGTCGGCCCACGTCCGGCTCGTCGAGCCCCACCAGGGCCATCATCCCCAGCACCTTGGCTTTCCCTCCAGTCCGGCCCGAGACCATGTCCGTCGTAGGAGCATCCCCGAGTCTCAGTTCGGACCAACAGCCTCCGGAATTGACTTTCGACGGCCCGATGATCTGGATGAGCTCGACTTCAACCACTGCCGTCATTCTACAAAGGTTGAGGAAGAACTCGGAGGGTCCGCTCCGGTCGAGGGCCGGATTCGTAGGAGGACCCATTCGGCAGTCTCGTTTGATAAAAACCCGTTGGGCATCGCCGAGTTTCATACCGATTCTAAAAGCCCCCGAAGGAGTCCTTATAGTATCTCCTCCTATTACGATGATGCTTCCAAAAACTTGTACGGACTCGATTTTGATTTGATTCCTTTATAAACCTCCTCAAAATAATATATCTGACTTGCAAAAACG